TCAAACAATGAATATGATGATGAGAATAAATTATTTCTTATCGATACTCGTAGACGGAATTGCTGAAATCTTACTGTGGGGAGAAAAGACAATTTATTGAGGATTGGCAGTTACTATAGTGACAGAAGATGCTGTAATAGCAGAAGTTAATGTGGTCACAGAATGTAATTACTGTAGTGACGGAAGATAATAACTCAAATAACAGAAGACTGTTACTATAGAGGTAGAATATAGTCACTGTAGAAGCAGAAGATAATGTAGTGACAGAAGATATTTACTGTAGTGATAGAAGATAACCACTTGAATGACATAAGATAATTACTGTAGTGACAGACTCTGTAATCAGTTGAAGGAATTCATTTTATAAACTGCGATTTGTTACAAAAAGTAATACCAAATATGAAAATTCATCAAATATAAAAGACAAATTTTTTCAAAACTATACTGCTAATAGTTATTGAATATGTAACTGCAACTAAGAAATATACAAATAAAATGTGGAGGTTAGTTTTAATCTTGCTTTATTGGTTCTGGCGGTGGATCGCATTCCGGCACTCTGGTAGGATTTGTCCTACGCCCAGATTTGTTGTGCTCATCGCTCTCGCTTCGTCCTCGTGGAATCCATATCGATTCTCGAAGGAGATGCTTTCGAACGTCTTCTACGTGGTCTGATATACTGATCTCCTTTGCATAGCGTTTGTGGAAGCTCGTTACAATCCCATCCCAAGTCATCACATACGGAATTATCTTGGTCCTGCATTTTATCTCTGACACAAGCTTTTTAACAAGTAGGTCATATTTTCGCATTTTCTCGGTCTCGACTGCTGTCAAGCTGTTCTGACTGTGATGCCAACCTCAATGAGGATTACTTCACGTCGCTTCTTATTGTGTATCTGATATTCGGTCCATTCGCTTTTATTCTGATTGCAGTTCTTACTCGCCTTATCGACTCTGATCTCAACGTTCTCATTTGCGACGACCTCCTGAACAGAATGGTTCCGCAAATGCGGGAATGCTTTCAAAGCATACTTGTTGCAAAGTCCCAAGTGGATGCATCGTAAGACTTCACTGTGTTTTCTAGCTATAGTCATGATGTAACATTTTTTCGCACTGCGTTCATGATGTAACATTTTTTCGCACTGCATTGCTGGTCCACCGTCTTCACACGTTCCCTACAATGTTGGCACATACCTTTCTCAGCTCCAAGCATATTTCTACCTTGGAGGTTACAGTATCGATGATGAATCAACTATGAACGATATTTTATTCGTCCGCATCTTGTATAGCTTTGCGTGGTGGGTTTCCTATTTTATTTCACTATATATATACACTCAGAAATACATGTTCAGATTAATCTTTATCAATCACAAATCAAATTTCTAGAACAGAAAAACTTGAAATTTCTGACATATATTGCACTTTCCAGTCAATTATACCACTAATTCATTCTACATTTAACTTTATTGTAACATTTGCTTTTTAAAACTTTAATAGCTAATAAATGATCCATTTTAATTTCTCATTTGTCGAATAAATTTGCATAAATTTTCATATGATCGAATAGTCAATAAATGATTTTTGCTCTGTAAGTCTTACTAAAAAGTATCCTAAAGATCAGATTTTTTGCATTACAGGGTTTTTTTTTTCGCAGGAATTTTGCATGAATTATAGGTTTTGCATAAAAATAATTTTTTGCATATATTGAGGTCAATGGCCTTTTTCGATACAGTTTTGTATATAATAGCAATTTTATGCATTTTCAATCATTTATCATTTGTGACGCTGTATAAGTGTTGTCTTATCATTTATCAGATTCTGAAAGTTGGCGTATCGTTTTTAAGAATGTCATCGAGAAAACCGTGCAGTGGAATTGTAACGGAGGTGATGGTATTGCTTATTGCTGCCAGTACAATTCAAGCGAGCCCTATGAATACAACGAATGAAGACGATATTGGCAATACAGCGACAGATACTACCAACACCATTAAGAATGAAGGATTGCTTATGATGAAGGAAATGGTGCTGGAAATGCCAGTCAAAGCAGCTGCTTATCAGATAAATACCGATAGCTTAATTGCAGTACTGCAAAATAAGGTGAGGTTTATGCTGTGGCTTTTATAAATCATATGTATTCAAGTAATTATGCGCAAAAATAGTTGAAAAATATTATTTCTGAAAGTATTGATTCAGAAGCATTTCATTCTGTTTATTTTGTTTTGAATGAATTAAAAAATGCTTTATTAGAAAAAAAAATGATTAGAAAAGAAGTTTTCATACAAAACTGCTACAAATTTACCGCTCATTTCGAATATGATTTTGAACCGAATTAGATTAGTTCATATTTTTGACCAAGATAAGATTGAAAATATGAACTAATGACCACTCAGCAAACATTTTTTATGAACTTTAATAGCAACTATTTAAGCTGGGAAAGATCAAACAGCAAAACACGAAAGAGCAAGTGAAGACATGATATACACATGTTGTATTAATATCATGAAAACATATGATAAATTTTGAACTGCGAGATTTCTTAACATGTTATGCATTGTTCATACTAATAAGGATGAAAAAGTGTTTATTATAAGTGATTGGTGAATGAATATAAACAATCAATATTCATGAATACTATCACAAATTATGCAAATTTCTGCACTGTTTGCGTTTGTATGTTTTGATAGATAGATATTAAAGTTTTATCAAATTATTATACATGGTGTAACCAATATTGCGCGAATGATGGACTTGCAGACAAACTCAATCTGTGTTTACTGTGAGAAATTCATTATTAAAACATTAAACAATCAAATTTGACGAACAAAAAATTTTATACATGCATTGATAATAAAACAAATGATTACAACATTTCACCAATTGAACTAATTTCATGAAAGTTATTACATATAAAAATTTATATTATAGTATACAATGCGCCATTTGACGGATTTCGACTTCCAAAATGATAATTCAGTACTTATAAAATTGAAGAAGGTTCATCCCCTGTGTACTAATATAGGCGCTGCCTACCTTAAATAAAATCCTTATTACACTTTTCAACAAGCTTTTTTCGAACTTTTAACTTTGTATTCTTGTAGAACACTCAAAAATATATACTTTTTTCAATTTTATAAAAGTTGAAGCTTTATATTAAACTTGCAAAACATCCTTAAAATCCACCTCTTTGTCCCTATACATTAATGTAAGGGAAACGTAATAAAAAGAAATTAGATCATCGAAAAAATGTTTGGAGAAATATAATAAAGATATATTTCTGGGTTCCTTATATGCCACTTCGCGGTCTTGGACCACAGAATAAATACTAAATCACACTATCTACTATCTTAATCATATCTTTTTTCCTTTCTCATATCCTGTTTTCAGCTATTTGTTTCCTTTCACTTATCTCATTTCAGTTTGTTCTCTTTCAAATCAAACAATTGCAAGTCAATAAAATCACGCCCTCAATCCCACTGATTACAGTACTTATAAATACTTACAAATGTCCAAAAACATGTATATAGAACCTTTACAAGTTATCAACAAAATGTGTGGCATGCGTCATGCAGTTAGATGTTGCCATGAGGAAGCTACTTGCGGACAATCACTTAGGAACTGTTACCCAGGTTCCCATGCTCTTCGCAAACCGCCAGGTTCAACATGGCTTGTTTGCTTGTTCTTTCGCACCTTGAAAAGTTTTTAAAAAAAAAGAGATGATTGATTTATAAGAATTAAGAGAATACACAGCTGTCGTGTCGTTCATAAAATAATTTTTAGTAGGTATAAGAATGCAATACTCTCATATTTCTCATTAGGGACATTGCTGTTTCACTGCCTTAGTATTGAGGCTATAGCTTGAAGTATTGAGGCTACAGCTTAGTATTGAGGCTACAGTTCTCAAAATATTTCAATCATCGAGTCATATTATTTCCGTAATTTCGTTACTGAAGTGCTTAATTATTATCACTATAGCAAAGTCCATAAGGTTTAAGACTGCATGGAATCAACCATTCCTCCTCAATCGTAAATGTAGTAACATGTTCTTTACAACTATAATCCATTATTCCTTCCCCTTGACCCCTTGTCATAAACTTCTCTCGTACTGTAATTTCGAAGAAATTGGAATTTCTTTGTAACTATGGCGTTACTCTTTGATGATATAAATTGATGATTATAACTTATTGCACATAAGGAAAAATTTAACATGTTAAGTGATTGATAACAATTTTTCATGCAAAATTTTGAAGGCACTTTCAACTTGTAGCGTAATACTTTTTTCCCAAGTGTAAACAGTGCTAAATTATTAACAATTCTAACTTCTATTACTAAAGAATGAATTTTGTAATTTAAGTTTTTGCATGAATGCTTTTTTACTTAATTGTACCAATCAACAATTGACAATGAACAATGAATGAATCATTGAATGAATAAATGGAATTTTTTGAATAAGAGGATCAAGATTAATTTTGCATGATATTACCTTGACAGTTTTAGCAAAATCTTCTCAATTATGACTGTTTACAATATTTAGCAACACTTCAGCAGTACTAATAATGAAAATCGGAATTAAAGTTCAGTTGTTCATTGCTATCATGAATACAAGACAGGTATTCCATGAATCAGCATTGACCTAATTTTTAAGTCTCGAACTTTGAAACTAAACAAGATAACAACAGAGATTGATAAGCAAATACTAAAATATCCTTGTATGTGTGTGGTCTGTATACTCGTTCAATACGTTTAAAACCCTTCAACTTTTGAGTTTGCGCAACCTCAAAATAAAACCTTATTTATTTTTATGCTAAAGAAAAAGTTTCAGTATAAAATAAACTACCATAAACTCTGTACCTGAAAATTAACGATTTTCATTTGGTAAAAAATACTCAAATGGTTAAAAAAAACCCTACATGATCATACTGCACAAAATTATTACAATAAACAAAATCGAATATTAATGTATGAAACTCCCATGACATCTTCAAAATCTTATTGCCAAAAAAGTTCCGGTCAAGGTTTACATATTCAGACGATTTCATTAAGTACTCACCCCAAGCATGGAGCAAGACTTCCAGGGAAAGAACTCTGCTTCCAAATTATTTATCTTGAAACATTCAGCAGATGTCTTGAATCTCTTTAATATAAAATTTTCACGGCTTTTTAGTTTTTTATTTGTATAAAAAGTTTATCAATAATTTCTCATTCACTTACATAACAAAGCGATATCATAACAAGTACAACACATACACGGGAGACGTGACGTACTTACTACGAATTCTTCAATCTGAGTGATTTACAACAGCGAAAACTGAAGTAGAAGTTGTAAATGTCGATGAACAGAAGCTTGGCATTCATCGAGCATCGTAAGAAGCTCGGAAAAATTCAAATTCTACAACGATTCTTGGGCTGAAAAGTAAGTGAAGAAACCACAAGTTGTACAAATTTTATAAAACTGAAGAAGGTGTGATATTTTATGTGCATTATCAAACTATGAAGTTAAATATTCAAAAAAAATGTGTTGGAAAATATAATTAGGAATTTAAAGAAGGTACGCAGTGCTTCTTTAAATTCTTATTAGCAAAATCCTTTCACACATGAAACAATGTACTACTAACTTGTTGATTTGTGAAGAATGATATTAGACGAACTCATCAAGAATACATTTAATTTCAGGTTTCGCTCTACCATAGTTACAGTACTTTTCAAATATTAATAATAGTAATAAATTTGTGATAAATTTCGCAAACTTTGAATTTACTTATTAATTGTTATTATTACTTTGCATCAAATTTTTCATAAAAATACAAAATAGAAGCTAATATTTTGTCAATTTTCGCTGAAATGAAATACAAAAGCTGACCGCGAAATAAAAGTGATCGCAAAGTTTTGTTTGCTCAATACTGATATATTAGTGCAAACAAGTGTTGATTATTAACATATGTTTCCTTCCGACTAAAAACTGAAACAATAACAGGTGACTTTTGATGAATTTAAAGCAAATAAACGTGAAAAATTAGAATTTACTTACTTGCTTATTTATATTTATATTTGAAATTTATTTTTGAGAATAAATTAAAAATACACTAAATGATTTATTGTTGTTATTTAGAATAAGCAATCCATTTGAGTACTTACTTGCGTGTGAATATTAGATAACATCAGAAACATAAATTGTGATGTATTAATTCTTAAATATCATTCGTGAAGTGTTTATTATTAATTATAAACTCTTAATATATGAAATTTTCATCGCTTTTAATATGCAGCAAAAGAATAAAAAGTAATTAATTAATGCAATAATAATGATTATACACTCATTAATAGCAGTAATTTAGTGTTAAATTTATAGTCAGAATATGAAAAGTGATTGGAAGATCAGCTGTTTGTATGATTATTGTTATTTACATGATTATTCAACATCATTTTTGTCTTTTATAATCAAAAATTGATAGCAATTTAGATTGAGCGCAAAAATATTTCTGCTTAGATAGAGGATGAAGAGAGTTTCAGATAGATTTTAAAGTATTTTGCATTGTTTACTTCTCATTTCAGTTCTTCGTATCTTTTCACAAAATACTTTTATCAACAAACTTAAGTTGAATATTATATAAGCAACATGTTTTTCTTTAAATATATCATAAATGTGTACGGATATCTGTGTGTGTGCGTGTGTGTGTGTGCGTGTGTGTTTGCGTGTGTTTACGTATGTGTACTGAAATTTAATCAAACAGCTGCCTACTTTTTACACTTAAAATTTTGCTATTTTCATGTTATAACTTTGTTATTATATATACGTATAACTAAGTTAATAATAACTACTTGAGTGAAAAGCTTCTGGAGAGCTTTTATCTCATCAACAAATTTATTTGCATTTTTTTTACTTTCATGTATAGTCTACAATTTATGCTTTTAAATGATCTTTAACTGAAATAATGCTATTCAAATATTACTGCTATCATGAAATTATTCAGTTTTGTACAATAAAAATTTTGTGGGGTCATCATCAAATTGTAGAAAAATTATTGCATGCTTTTATTTAATATTGAAACAACATTATCAATGCAATTAAAGTAATTTTTTTCTTGCAAAAAATGTGCATAATTTAGAATATGAAATTTCTTAGTATGCTTGCTGATTGCATCAGTTTGTAAGTACTGTATATATAATTTGAACTGTATGGCATAAAAGTGATGCATGAAAATTTTTAATGTATTTAAAGATTAGAATTTTCCACTGAAATCTGCTCAAGTTTTCAAGCAATGAGCGAAGAAGAAGAAGAATTGATGTTAGTTGCATTAATTAATACAAATTTTATAAAAAAATAAGTGCGAAAAATTATTATGATTATATTAAAAAACTAGTAACAAAATTAAAAATTTGTTCTATATAGAGTCTAATAAAAAATACAGTAATAAAACGCAAATTAATAAATTAATCAAGAGATGTTGAATCTAAATGACATTGAAATTTTTTATTTAATTTATCAGTAATTTTAGGTCTGAAGAAGACGATGAAGAAGAAGCGGATGAACTTGAAAATGTTGGTAGTTCTGAAGCAATAAAAAAAGATAGCAATATAAGAAAGTTGAGTTTGAGTTCAAGGACAGAAAGCAATAGTTCAAGAAAAGACAGCAGTAACTCATTTGTACGAAAAGTTAGCAGCAAGTAAGTCTGAGCATAATCATTTCTGAGCTTCTTTAATAAAAAATTAAATTAATTAAATAAACTTGACAGGATAACAAATAAGCAGTTTGTGAAAATTTGAGCTTTAATTCTTCTAAATTTACTTTATTATCTACTAATGCATTTTTAATCAAATTTTTATTATAAAAAGAAAAAAAGACCTTAATTACGTATGATTATTTGCCATAAATTACTTTTGCAAGCAAAAAGAATTGAATAAAACTTTGGTATTTTGTAAAAAATTTATTCATCATCCTTGAAAATGTGAAAATTTTTATACAATTTTCTTATGAATAATTATTTCTTTATTAAACCATTTCATTTACAACAATTTTTTGAGAAAAAAAGAACAAATGTGATTAATTTGCAATGGCATTAATACTTTGAAAAGATTTTTTATTCTGAAGTATTTTGAATAGTACTTACGTGTAATACTTTTCCCTCCATAAAATCTTGCTCTTTTTTAAAATAAAACAATGAAAAGTGAACATTGTTAAAATATTTATTTCATTGTAGTAGTCGAGATTCGAATAAAGAAAATAAAGAAGCAACACTATCAGAAGCAGAAATGGCTATTTTGGTTAGTGAAATCTCGTCAAAAGAAAGTGATAAATTTTTTGTTCAAAGAAATGTTTCTTAAACTTTAATTTGAAATACTGTCGCAATTTTTTTAAGGCAGCAAAAAAAAGACAAGAGGAAGAACAAGAAGCTAAATTACTAGATTATGAAGAAAGACGTCGAATAGAACGTGAAAAAATTGAAGAAGAATTACGTGCTTTGAAAGAAAAACAAGCAAAAAGACGTCAAGAACGTGAAGAAGAAGAACTTGAATTTGCTAAACGTCGAAAGGAACATGAAGAAAAACGAAGACAAGAAGAAGTTAGTTTCAAATTTAGAAAGAATAATAAACGCAGAATTTATCTAGTATACTTTGATAAAATATGCAATTAGATTACTTTTTTTGTTTTTTCTCGATTAAAAATACTATCTATCAGTCAATATTATTATTGAAAATATTGTTTTTTTTAATAAATAATTAAGTTATATTTCATCGCAAATTAAGCGAACATTAACTGCTAAATTAGACTATTAATTGATAGTTTTTTGCAGATTATCAATTTTGCTTATGTTTCTATTTCGTTCAATATTTAATTGCTTGCTTTGTAATGAAACATAACTCAATTTTTTATTCAAAATAAAAAGAGTATTGAATAAAAATTTTTTATGAATAAGATAAAAATGATAAAATTTACAAAGATTAATGAATAATTTAAACGAAAATTTGGTAATTATTGAATTATAAAGAGAATTTTAAATTTCATTTATATAACTATAATTATTGGCGCTTTATTTGAGGAGCAATTGCGGGAAAAAGTTGAAAGCGCAAAACGACGCCGCGAAGAAGAAAAAAATAAGCGTCAACAATCAATGGCCAGTTCGTTTTCGCTCGCTTCAGGCGCAAAAGCTGGCGAAAAAAATTTTACTATTCAAAAAATTACCAAAGCTGAAACCAATCCACAAGTAATCATTTGCACTTATTTTATATCACTTCATTCATATTCTTTAATTATATTTAGTTCATTATTTAATTAAGTAAATTATCAATATTTTATTACTTTATCCTCAAAATTTTTAACGCTTTTGTCAATTTTTGGTGGAATTTATGAAAAAAATATAATTAAATTTGATAAAGTTATCTTTATTAGTACAGATAATAAAAATTAGTTAAATGCTTGCGTAATTTCAAGACACTGAAGCAAATTAACGTGGAAATGAATGAGCAAAATAAACGTGCATATATGGCAACAATTCAACCAGTAAATACAACAAATATGCTGCCAAATGATTTGAAAGATCATATCAAAAAGTTACACGCAAAAATTGTACGGATGGAAGCAGAAAAGTATGATTTAGAAAAGAGAAACGAACTTCAGATCTACGATGTAAGTTTTTACGCCTTTATGCTTTAGTACAAAGTGCAGTCAAAACGTGAAGTCAAATTACATTGTAACTGATGAATTCTTCTTGCTAATTTATGTACATCTAGTAATTTATAGAAGTGTTCATAAGTTAGTTGTTCGACCAATTTTAAGTATTATCCACTTATAACAAAAAATTAAAGTAACGTATTGTAGAGAAGTTGATGTTTAATAAGTAGCATGTGGCAAGGGAATTCATTTTTAATACCAAAAAATTAAAATTGTTGCCATTAACAGGTGGAAGCTTGAACAAATTTATTTCGCACTTAAAAAAGTATGGAAATGAGATTAACAAAGTTGACTCAAGAATCGAGAATTAAGAGTCTAAATACGCAGACTTTGATTAGCAATGCAAGCGTAAACTAGGATGGATTAGTGATAGTGAAGATAATAACTTGATTACTACATGTGTATATATCTATGGAGATAACAGTTAAGAACATTATATAAATTGTAATTTGACAGAGAAAGTAAGAAAAGGTAAATTGCCAATTAAGTTAATAAATTTTTGAGTATTCTGAAAATTTTCTTATCGCCTAATTAATATTGTGGTAATTAAGGAGATGAATAGTAATTATTAAAAGGTACTAAGTAATAAACAAAAAGAAGCATAATACATACATGCAACAATTAGCAGTAATCGTTGAAAAAATGCAACAGAATGAAACAAAATAAAATGTTATAAAAACAAAAAACATATAATATATTTATATACTAATCTAATATATATACAGTAAAGATTGCATCAAATATATTTCTTAATTTGTCAATTTGGGAATGACTGTAGTAAAAGTGTGAAAATTAAATTCATGTTGACTAATATTATACTCATTTCTTTCACAGTTCATATAATGTAAGTGGATACTGTAAAAAAACCATGTGTTGTATCAAAATTCACTTTTCGAATGAATTATAGCTGAAGGAACTACACGAACGACAAAGGCAACGTGCTCGACAACGTGCTTTGCAGAGAGGTTGTGATCCCGAAGAATCTGGCGATACACTTATACCAGTTTGTTGTCATTACGTCAATCATAATAAGAGTTTAAAAATAGTACATTTATAGTATTTAAATAAATTAAACAATTAAATTATTTGTTTGCAGCCAAAAGTAACGATTGCTTCAAAGTTTGATCGTGAAGTGGATCATCGCTCATATTTTGATCGTCGTCTTCTTTACGAAAAAGTTTCTTCTCACTTTCATTCATTTTCAGATTTATTTATTTGCCATAAATAACATTATTTAAATATGCTTTATTTCAATTCCATGACAAAAAAAAAGATATTTGTGATCATAGCAAAGAAAATCTAAACAGCTCATACTAAATAATACAACAATGTAAAGGAAAAACCTTTTAGACTAAAGCTGAAAAAAAACCAAAAATACTTCGCGGTACTGGTCGTCCACCAGCAGATTGGGGTCGTCACACTAATGAAGAATTAGAAACTATTCGAAAAACTTTAGAAACACCACGTTATCGTGAACAAATAAAACTTGAAAATGTAGCACCACCAATACCGCCAGCACCACTACAAATTCCTGATGATTCAGACGATGAAGATAATGACACAAAAGCAGCTAATAAGTCAGAAGAATCTAATCAAGCAGAACGATCTGATACTAAAAAACCGCCAGTTCCATCAAAACTTCATGATAAGAATGATGACAAAAAATTAAAACCAAATGCACCACCAAAACCTAAAGTATATCAATATGTTACTTCTTAAAAAACTCTACAGTACTATTTATTATTATCAAATTTTTCATTTTTTTTTAACAATAAAAATTAGCCGTCCTTAATTAATATTTAAGTTGATTACATTTACTTTGTTTAATGATAGCAAAATTAATTTCAGATTGGTATAATGCAAAAATGAGCCGAAGAAACAGTAAAAGCAAAGTAATAAAGCAAAAATTTGCATTTTCATTTATTTATCTCATTTACCTCTGTAAACATATATTTCTATCAGACTTGTGTGAAAAGGTTTGCATATTGTGAACGAAGTAATGGATTTGTAGAAGAAATAAACCATAGGCATTTAGCAATTATTTATCATTTTTGATGTTATTATACTTTAGTGACTTAAATAAAAGTTAATAAATAATAATATAGAGTGAATAAATTATGACAGCATTTTTAACATTTTCAGCTTCAAGCAGGAAGTCTTCTTAAAAGCAAAGCATTGACAGCAAATGAAGGTTTATAAATAAGCAATTTATTTGAAGATTCTATTCGAAAACTAACAAATCACTTTTTTGAATACAAAAAATTTTCTACTTCCAAATATTCCACCTTTTATTTTTCAGTCAAATATTTCATGTAAAGAATTGATGGCAAATGAAAGTATTCAAAAATAGAAGGAATATTTTTTGATTAAAAAAAAAAAGCAATTTAATGATTAAAAACTTGCTCAATTTTATAAATCAAGTTTTTTAAAATATATATACAGTAATTTTTCAGATATATTGCTATAAATATTATTTATTAGCTTTTCTTAAATAATTTTAATAAGTACTAAACATCAAAATACAATAACAAAATAATATGCATTAATTTAATTTCTTGTCCTCTAAAATTTATTATTATTATTTTTTATTTAAAATATGTTATAAAAAATTATTAAGAAATTGAAAGAATTTTACTTAAGTACACAAAAACGATGCAGTTTAAAAGTTTAAAATGATCAAGTTTGTGTAAAATTAAAGAATTCAGTGCATAAAAGTGGCAAATATTAGTACTTAAAAAAGTATGAAAAAATGTTAAGTATGTTAAAGATTGAACAAAAATATAAGAGGATACTTTAAGGGATATGGATAAATTGTATTGTATGCATGCATGTTTGTATACATAAATATATACATTAGAAAATGAAAAAATTTTAAATTTGCATACATAAGTACTGAAAACTTCTTCAGTCACATATTTGATGAAAAGAATTAACGGCAAATGATAATAAGAAGGCTGACTGATTCCGGATTAAATTCAACTGAAAGTGCCACTTTCTCATGAAGAGCATTTTCTTCTTCTACCGATCAGTAATTTATAAAAAGACTTCAGTGTGTTAATGATTTTATTGTAAATATACTTTCATTTAAAATCTATCCATACATGCAATAGTTTAATTTGATAATTTGTTTTGTGCTTGTTTTTAAGCTCAATTATAATTATTTATTATGATTAAAGTCAATAAATTTAGTAAATTATCAAAATTTGTATTATGAGATTATTTTTGGTTATTTTTTTAAATTTCAAACCATTTTTCAAAATAATATAATTATAAGCACATAAATTAGTAGCGTGAATTTGATTTTTTAACTGATATTTATCATCTATGAAAATTTGAATTTATGAAGTTGTAAAATGTATACAATGAAGTTGAGCCTAGTGCATTGAGTTTTATTCAAGTTATTTTGAAACATTGCTTGTTTTCATTTGAATTTATTTCAATTATTGTAATTTCGGTAATTTCCTTCATTTATATTAGTCTTTTTCTAATTACAGTCTTTATGTTTAGATAACAAAAAATTGTATGCATACTTGCGAAGCAATTTTTAAATTACAGATTGATTCATAATTGAAACAGATCTCTAAAAATTTACATATTTAACTGTAACTTTTAAGTATTTGTATGACAGATTAGCACAATTACTAACTAATCTTTCCAAAATTTTCAACCAGTTTTGTCGGCAGTGCTTTTATTCAATTAATAAAAAACAATTGTATTTCTAAAGATTTAATTACTCTGTTAGTAAGTTTCGCATTCTAAATTGTCAATGATTAAGCTTAAATAATTTAAGCTTCAGAACAATCAGCAATGCATTTCATCGTCATGATATTAACAATTTTAACAGTAAGTTATCGTTTATACAGAATCTAATATGTTAAAAGTAATAGCAATAAGACCTTTTAATATTTGATATATATAAACAAAATTACGTGTAAGCTATTAAAAAAAATTGACAAAAAGGATAAAAAAGGAATAAAAAAATTTGAAAATAAAACTACTTTTTTTAAAATTGCAGGCTTTTATTGAAATTTGCTTTGCAGTACAATATCCTAATGTAATTATCGAGAAACCATCTGTAACATGTGAACCAGAAAGAATTCTTATACAAGTATACAATTCAATGATATTTTGTTTTTAAAAATTAATTTAATTGAAATTATTGTTCAACACTTAGGTTATAGTTCACATGCAGAAAATTTTAGAGTAGAAAAAATATATAAAGTAAAGCGTCTAATTTATGCTTTAATAAATTATAACTTTTAATATTTTCCCAAAAATATTTCACTTGATTGTAATCATGTATGTAAATTGTTTTTGGAACTAAACATCTGTATTTTTTGAACATTCATATATATTTTCTATTGATATACTTTATAGAGAAAAGTTAATATTAATGTTTATGATTTGTGGCTTGTATTTAATTTGAAAAAAAATCATTAGTTTACAAATATCATTTAAAAAAGTTAAGATTTTATTTTACTACTTACTTCAACATTTCAGGTGCGAACAAGTAAATCAAATCCAGCCCATATCTATGCAGAAAAAAATATTAATAATCCAGATTGTGCTTCTAGAAATCTTGACCGACTTAGTTTACCACTTGGAAAATGCGGAATGAAAGTTGAAGAAACAGTACACGATCAATCTGATGAAAATTCTCTGATTAAATCTAATGTAAGTCTTAAGTAATTTTTTTTTAATTAATTAATTTGTTTTTTCATTTTAATACTTAAAATAAACAAATTATTAGCCAAACACATTAAATTATATTCAACTATTGTATTTATTCTCTATAAGTTTACTTTTGACTAATTTACTTGGATAAATATTTGTCTAGAAAGTTTAAATTAAATTGCTAACTTCAGAAAATTCCCATATCAAGCATTTATCGTGCATGTATTACTATCCAACTTCATCCACTTTTTGTCACTCGTAATGATAGATCGTATTGTGCGCAATGTGTTTACAAAAATATTGATGAGATTGAAAATTTCCAGCAATCACTTTCTGTGAGGTAAAATAATAAAGCTGTTTGATTATAATAATATTTTCAGTAATAAATTTAAATATATAAACTAATTTTTTTTTTCAAAAAAATTTGATATAAAAATTTGATTAAAAAATTCATTTTTATGCATAATTAGTAAAAATATTTCAATCATTCATCTTTGGAATAAACATTACACAAATGCGTAAAAATTGGAAAGTTTTAGTGATTCTATGCCATTGAACTTAGAACCAAAATTTGATTTGAAATCAATAGAAGCCAAATGTAGCTATGAAATTAGACGGAAATCAATTAATGGACCATTAATTCGTTATGCATTACTCGGAGAAACTGTTTATCATATATGGAAATGTCAAGAAGGTAAAAAAAATTCTCACAACAAGTCTACTTTTATAATATGTCCATTTATTAATCAAAATTAGATTTTTTACAAAAATTGCAAAAATATTTTAGTGAATATTTTATAAGTTAAAGTATTTTCTACTAATATTTCAGAGAATATTCAAATTTTGGTACAAAACTGTTATGTAGAAGATGACGAAGGGAATCGTATTCTTGTCATTGACAGTAATGGGTAGACTTAATTCTAATTAATTTAACGCAATATTATGCTGATTTTAATTAAAACTTCATCAAAACAAATAAAGAACTGTTTGAATTTTGTGTAGATTTTATTAATTTATTTTTTCATCTTTAATGTAAAACGGTTTTTTTCAAAATCTGCTTCATGTAGATGTGGTGTTGACGAATATATCCTTCCAACTCCTGTATATTCAGCTGATCGCAGGACTGCTTCACAAGTAAAAATTAAATCTGTAAAGAACTGAAAATGCTGCATAAATTTTTTATTATCCTTTTTTCAATTGGTAAAAAATAAACTTACTGCTAACTATTCTAGCAAAAAATTATTCTAACGTACTTAAATTGTGCGTTAAATAGCTATTTTTAGGTGATTCACGTATTTAAATTTGCTGAAAAGGAATTAACCCGATTTACGTGTCAAATTCGTGTTTGCTCGATGATAAACAATACTTGTCAAAACTTTGCAGTTTGTTTTATAATAAAATAAATTTTTAAAATGTTTTTATTTGAATTATTGTAGATTTTGCTTTTGAGATAGCCTAATTCAGTTTTTAAAAATCGTTTTTTGTGGTTGAATCTAAAAAAAAGTGCTCTATCAAGTTTTATTTGCTTGGATTAAATTATTAAATTCTTTAATTAAAATTATAAATATTTTTTAGCCTCCTACTCGATGTCCAAATATTGAGGAACGTTTAAAAATGATTGAGAAACAAAATCTTGTGAATATTTCTACTCAACACTTATCAGAAACTAATCAAGCATTGTTAGTACAAGATTCATCAACAACAACAACAACAACAACAACAACGAAATCAACTATTATTGGAAGCATGGTAGCCAAAAAATTTGGGCCAATACCACCAAATACACCAATACATTCTAAATTGTCCAAGACAAAAGTACCATTAAGTGAATCAGAATCAGAAGAATACTTTTTAACATCAGCAACTAATGAATACATTTCGACAATTGAAAGTAATGGAGCATCACCACCATCTATCAAGCCACTTTTAATTAACAAACCAGAACAGGTCGAACCCAGGTGAACTATTGAATACAAATTAGTATTGAAGTTCACTTTACTTGACCACTTTTCATTTGCTTTCTTTTTCATGTAAAAGTAAGTAAAAACTTTATTTCAATCAAAATCACTATAAATTAATAATTTTATGATATTATGCCGTATACAATTATCAATTTAATGAATGATCAAATTATTATTGCAGCCATCATCAGCAACGAGGAAAACGAACTTTTCCTGCAAGTAAAATACCTGAAACAGATATGACAATGGCTAATAATTTGGATCCTTTAAAGAATAATAAAGATTATTCTTCATTTGGTGTTAGTGGATTGCTAACAGTACTTGATTCACCTGAAAAACTGGTTTATTTAGGTAAATAATTTAATATCACATCATTTACTTACATTTTACTGCATAAACTTGAAATTTCAATATATTTAACTCTATTCATAAATTATTTCATTATTCATATAATAAACAATAATAAGGAACAAATGAAATCTTAATTCAAATTTTTGTAAAATTTATAAAAATTAGTTGATGAATAATTTTAACTGCAAAATATAAACAATAATTTAAAAAAATGAAATTTATTATGATTTTATATAAAATTATCAACTAATTTCAGTACTTTTAAAGATTTATAATTATTTAAATATTCACAAATTATTAAATGCAATGAATACAAGATAAATTGCAAATACTTAAATGAAAAAATTTTTGATCGTAAATAGTTTACTTTATTATATGACTGATAAAATAATTTATAAACACATTTAAAATAAATTATTTATTTTTGTAGAAAATAAGAAACCAACAGAAGAATTGTATGCTTCAGCTGTTGCTCATACTTCAGATATTCGAAGCGATTTTTTAATTAGCTGCATGCCACAAGTTGTATTTTCTCTGGCGATTTTAGGACTTATTATTTTATTAATAATTGTAATATTCTTGATAGTTTCTTGTACATCACATTCAAAAACTCAAAAGAATAATACAACTACTACTCGTTCTACAATTGATGGTAACCTTTGATGATCATTTAATAGTTTTATTCTGCAATAATTCTATTAATATGACGCAAAATAAAGTTCTGCATGTACACGTTTTTTAATTTTACGTATAGTGAATGTTTATCTTTACTTTCTCTCGTAATAATTATAAGATACTACTGAAAAAAGTCATTGGAATTAAATGTAGAATATATTTATTCTTTAACTTTTTATATATTTTTTTGATTAATAAAACTCAGAAATAAAAAAATTAATGAAGATAATATATTATGCAAATACTTACTATTAAAAAATATTTACTTACAAAAGATAACAATTATAACTTTATTATTCAAATAAAATGAATATATATAATTGAAAGGGCATTGTTCAATAAAGTAAATAAACTTGATCTATTATTACTTAGATATCTCATTCTGAGTCATTTTATCATGATTTTTTTTCTACAGTTTTCGAAAAATTGTTGCTGTGAATGCATTGATTTACTTTTGAATATTAATTACTTGTTTGCATTTTATTTCTTTCATTATAAAACTTAAAATTTTTGAACTTTTGACATGTGTTGAAAATTTAATTTTAATGATTGATATTTACAAAGGCAATATAATAAATACTTATTGGTTTTTTTTTATTTTTTAAATAAAATATTTTTCATAAATGAAATTTTGGGTATTTTAGGTACGTATACACAGATATTTGGTAATTTGTATTGTTTTGCATTTGCTGTCATGATTGCATAAAATGTTTTCGTACTTAAACTAGTTGCTAATTACTGTACAATGATAACTGCAACTATTAGAGTTTATAAAAACATTACTTTTCACACAAATTTGATTTCTAAAATTTTATTTTACATTTGTTAGTATGTTTGAATTTTTTGATAAAAATAAATTTATTACTCGCAAAATTTTAAATGATTAAAATATTGCTTCTTTTTCATATAATATTCAAAAATTTATTAATCACATAAATATTAAAAATAAAAGCATATCAAATTGATGAATTAAGCAAATGTTCTAAAATAACCTTTGCCATCTGTATTTGATAATGATGCGCTGATTGACTTAAAAGTGCCTTGACGTTTACTAAAATGTTGAAAACTAAAATTAAATTTAACTTTCACCTTGAAAAAAAAAAGAATAATGTCTGATGCAGAGATGTTCTTTGTGTGTAAATAAATATTTTTGCATGCTTTATCATTAAAATGAATTCAATACGTTAACTTTCAAAAGTGATTGAAATAAAATTTTTATTCGTTAACTATTATTATTCAATATGCTTTTGGTGTAATTTCAATTAAACGAGTATTTTTGACTGACAAACAAAATAATAACATATTTAATGAATCTCAGATATCATAAAGAATTAAAGATTAAGAATTTTTAAGTAGTGAAATGTAATATACTGAAAAGCATTTAATTATTGCTTATATTTGGCAATATAAAAGTTATTATTTTATTAATATAATAATTTTTATAGTTTTAGCGAATTTAAAAATTAAAATTACTTGAAATTAGATAATTTGGTACATTAATAAAGTTATTTATCCTTCAATAATGTAAACAATATTAAGAAGTTTTGATTTAGCACGAAAAATTTTGTATTTGTTTCAGAAAAAAATAAAGTTGAAAGTATAATTATTTTAATTTTTAATAAAATAAAGTATGCAAATTAAAAGCATTTCTTTGAGGATAACTTTTTTTATTATTTATTTTAAAAAGTGCTTTTGGTTGTAAGCAACTTTTGATAAATCTGAGAAAAAATTAACTTCAAAAAAGTAATTGTATTAGTTATGATAAGATAAGAACATTTGAGAAATTAACTTTACACAATCATGATAAAAATTATTGCAACTAATCAAGTAAGATGAATTTTTTTTGTAACAAAATAAACAGTTAGCTTTTATCATTTGTATGCATACAAAATACCATTATCTTTCTCGAGAAAATATTTTAGACTAGTTTGTAATTGCTAGATTCATTTCAATTTTCGGTTACTGAATGAAAAAAACGTCATTTTGTAGCTTATGCAAACAAATTTTTGATTATTATCAGCTTAACAGGCATAAGGTGATAGTATTTTGTTTTTTTAATGAATTGCAGACAGACGCTCAAATTTCTGTCTTGCGTTTTGCATTACTTTCTATCAAATTTGCATTTTTACTGCTGTAAATTGATTATTTAAATCGTTCATTAAGTCAAGTAAGTCAGTAATAGTTTCATTTGCTCTTTCTGAAATAAGATTTAACAAAATAGTACTAGAATCTTAGCTTGTTAACAAATGTATGAAATAATTGTTAAAAATATTAATTTTTATGCATTTAATATAAAAATTAATGACATAACTAAAACTCTCACAATTGCTACATTCATAAAAATTATAATATTATTTTATCTAGTTAAGGCTAGTTTACATTGCTGATTGTTTTTATATCTCTGAACTTTTGTAAAATAAGGTTAATATCATTTCAGTTGTAAAAAAAAAATATTGTAAAGTATCAACTGGTATCAGTGTGTCACACGGCCTTTATCAAAATATAATTACTCTGTAAGTTTCTTCTTAGTTTAATTTTAAATAATGATTGATGAATTAAAATTAGTTCAGTTTTGTTGAAATGAAATCCGACTTACATCTTACTAAACTAACAATAAACAAAAATATATTTTCTCAAATTTTATTTTCCTTTCATCATTTTTATCAGTCACATATAATAATTCTTTTATTTAAATTACCTTTTTCTATTTTAATTAAATTAATTAAGTACTTTATTATTATGATAAAATAAAAAATGATATACTGTATTAGTTTTACACGTTAAAATATAAGTATAAAGCAATTATTTATTATTGAACAGTAAGTAACCAATCATTCTTATTTTTCTACCAGTAAATATCACTTTCTACAAGATTTTGTCAAGAAAAACGTTCATACTATTTACAGCATTTTATATGCAATTTTTCAAGGTCGGTAATTTTGCCTTGTCAATTGCATTTTTTTATTAGATAAAAAACAATCATGTCATTTCTAGTTAGTTCATCATGTAGAAGAGAA